GGCGCGTCCATGGCGGTGGGTGGGACGTACCTTGTAGCACTTGTGCAGCAGCATCCGCGTGGAGGACAGGACGTTCACGGTGTAGAGGTAGAACGTGCGGGACGGCGCGTGGTCCGGGGTCTTGGGAATCTCCTGCCGGTGGGTGAGAGAAGGGGAAGGACTTCACCATGTGACATGTCCCCACGTGAGCTACATGTCCCCATGTGACATGTCCCCTCGTGAGCTACACGGGGCTGGGGACAGAGCTGGGGTTTGGCCGGTGTCCCCTGTGGCACACGGTGTCCCTCCCTCCCCGCGGTGACGCTCGGCAACGCCCGTCACCCGGCTGGTTGCTCAGTGAGGAGCAGGAGAGCAACGTTCCCTCCTCCTTGGGGAAGTTCTTGAGATCTTGGAGGCGTCTCCATCGCTCTCCAGCCCCCACATCTTGTTTGTCCCCTCGCGTTCCCTCCCCTCTGGTGACGGGGTGGAGGGTGTCCCACCTGCAGGGACACGAAATTCTCCGACAGCATTTTGTAGAGCATGTCCTTGGCCTCCTTGGCTGGGATCATTGCAAAGTCCTCCACTTGTTTCTGCTCCAAATGCTTCTTTCTCAGGAGCAAACGGAAGATCCTGGCGCAGCGGGAACCGAATCTGACCAGGAGAGGAAAAGAAATGAGGGGATGGAAGGGAGGAAAGGTCCACGAGTCTCCAAATCACCACTTTACCTCTCCTCCACGATGGACTCCAGGGTGGCTGTGGCCAGAGATGCCCAGGCCTTGTGAAGATCTGGAGAAGATGGAGGTCAAGGGATAACAGTGGAGCTCGGGGATTCAACGCCGGCGTTTGGGAACCGCTTTAGGCAGCGGAAAAGGCCAGGGCAGGTGATTCACCCCCAAAGGATACTGACAGTGAACGAGCCCCCGCCGCTGTCCCCGGATTTACCCACAAACTCCAGCTGTGAGCAAAGAGAAGATCACAGAGTCACAGGATGGTGGGGCTTGGAAGGGACCTCGAAAGATCATCCAGTCCAACCCCCCTGCCAGAGCAGGAACCTCAATGAGATCACACAGGAAGGCGTCCAGGCGGGTCTTGAATGTCTCCAGAGAAGGAGACTCCACACCCTCCCTGGGCAGCCTGTCCCAGGGCTCTGGCACCCTCACTGGAAAGAAGTTTCTTCTCCAGTTGAAGCAGAACCTCCTGTGTTCCAGCTCACACCCATTGCCCCTTGTCCTACCACTGGGCATCACTGAGAAGAGCCTGGCTCCATCCTCCTGACATTCACCCTGAACATATTGATAAACATTAATGAGGTCACCCCTCAGCCTCCTCTTCTCCAAGCTAAAGAGCCCCAGCTCCCTCAGCCTTTCCTCAGCAGGGAGATGCTCCACTCCCTTCATCATCTTGGTGGCTCTGTGCTGGACTCTCTCCAGCAGTTCCCTGTCCTTCCTGAACTGTGGGGACCAGAACTGGACACAATATTCCAGTTCAGCCCAAAAGTGGGAAAAATCCTCATTTTTCATAAAATTTTGATTATACAAAGTAACACAGAAATGTTTATGATTTATTTTTTACAGTATCTCTGATCTCAACACCCTGAGAACATCAGATGTATTTTTTTAACCCTTTCAATATCTTTTAAATATCCACCCAAACCTGCTCTTCCCTGGGCTAACGGGAGGCAGGAGCACCAGGAGCTCGGTGAGGAGCCACCATCGAGCAGCACTGAACTTCTGGATGTAACCAGCTCTGGCATTTGGGCAGTGAAGACACTCAGATGTTCAGATATAATAATAGATATAAGATGATTATTTATTAGACAATAATCTATTTATTAGATTATATAATCATAAAAAATAACACATTTCTTACCGGGTCATCTGCTAAGAGGGTGAGATATTGATCCAGAACTTGCTTTGTGATGTTGTATCCAGCTGGAAGAGATCTGAATATCTACGGGAGGAGAACCAGGCACAATAGAACCAGGGGGGACCAGAACAAGGACTTTTTCCTCTATAAATCACCCACAGGTGCTTTATAGACTTCTCCTGCGTGATCCAAATGTGGAGCTGCAGCCCTGCGAGTGGAGAACGGCCCCAGCTGCACCCCAACATCTCCAGGGTGGGAACTGACCTCGTTGGAGGAGAGGGGCTGGGTGTAGGGCGCGCTGGAGGACGTGGTGACCTCGCTCATCCGCAGCATGGTCCGCACTATTTCACTGCTGGTCTGGTTTTGGGGGGAAGGAAACACTCCTCAGTGTGGGGGAATCATAGAATCATGGAATGGTTTGG